AAAGTGCATCCATCCATCATAAAAGTTCATCTATCCATCATAAAAGTTCATCTATCCATCATAAAAGTGCATCCATCCATCATAAAAGTTCATCTATCCATCATAAAAGTTCATCTATCCATCATAAAAGTTCATCTATCCATCATAAAAGTTCATCTATCCATCATAAAAGTTCATCTATCCATCATAAAAGTGCATCCGTCCATCATAAAAGTTCATCTATCCATCATAAAAGTGCATCCGTCCATCATAAAAGTTCATCTGTCCATCATAAAAGTGCATCCGTCCATCATAAAAGTTCATCTGTCCATCATAAAAGTGCATCCGTCCATCATAAAAGTTCATCTGTCCATCATAAAAGTGCATCTGTCCATCATAAAAGTGCATCTGTCCATCATAAAAGTGCATCTGTCCATCATAAAAGTTCATCTGTCCATCATAAAAGTGCATCTATCCATCATAAAAGTGCATCTGTCCATCATAAAAGTGCATCTGTCCATCATAAAAGTTCATCTGTCCATCATAAAAGTGCATCTGTCCATCATAAAAGTTCATCTGTCCATCATAAAAGTGCATCTGTCCATCATAAAAGTGCATCCGTCCATCATAAAAGTGCATCCGTCCATCATAAAAGTGCATCTGTCCATCATAAAAGTTCATCTGTCCATCATAAAAGTGCATCTGTCCATCATAAAAGTGCATCTATCCATCATAAAAGTGCATCTGTCCATCATAAAAGTGCATCTGTCCATCATAAAAGTGCATCTGTCCATCATAAAAGTGCATCTATCCATCACATAAGTGCATCTGTCCATCATAAAAGTGCATCACTGAAATCCAGTTTCATGGACTTTAAAACAGAACTGGCCGTTCACTCTCATTATAAAGCTTGGAAAAACTAGGACATTTGTTACTATAAAGGCCAATTTATACTTCTGCGTAGGGTGCGTGCGCGCAGTAGGTACGGCGTAGCATACGCACAGACGCGTCCCATACCGCGTACCCTTCGCCGTCGCCTGACGCGCACCTCTTCAAAAATGTAACTACACGTCGCGACGACGCGGACCGCAAGATCGGTGATTGGTTGGCTTGGTAGCATCGCATTTCCTCCTACGCATTTCCGCACGTACCTTCTCACGCATTTCCACCACTGTCTATGATTTCCACAAGTTTCATCTCCTCCGAAGTCTTCTCTCATTTCTGCCTTTCAGTTTTAGTAATTTCACTAAAGTGAACTGTTTTTCCACCTTAATAAGCTCCAATTCCAACATGATCAGCTCTCTTTCACTCGTAGTAACCTAGCCGCGAGGAATCTAAACACAGTGGAACATTAAAACTCTCCGCCGCCAACTAGCGTTTCGGAGCAGTACTGCAGAGCAACCAAGACCTGAACGCAGAAGTATAAATGCTCACAACGGCGTCGCCTACGTGCGTAGCCAACGGCGTACACTACGGCGTACCCTCGACGCAGAAGTATAAATTGGCCTTAACTCTAACTGTATTCATCTAAAAGTATGAAGTATTTTACACCTATGATGGCTGGAGAGAGAGTGAGTAAATCATGGGCTGATTGTAATGTTTTGGGTGATGTACCGCTTTAAGCCTCTGTCTCTGTGCTCTTCAGTGTGTCGGCGGGTCACAGCACAGAGCGGCTCATCAGTTCTCCCTCCGTTAGCTCGTCTCGTCCTCCCTTCTTCAGCCAACTGTCCGGCCAGACCTTCTACAACAACGAGTACGGCCAGCTGTCGGAGGAGGGCGTCTGTGACTTCTTCTCCTCCTCGGATCAGGTCTGCCCGGCAACTTCCAACCTGTAGCCCTGATTGGCCAGCCGAGCCCAGGCCCCGCCCCCTCCACACTAACTGAACTGATATCTCAGCAGCCACTGGGTAGCACCATTACGTCACATTCAAACCAACACAAAGTATTTTAACAACTTAGTTACATATATCTTTATATAAAGAGTAAACTTCTTTTTATTTGTACAAAAAAGACAAAAGAATGGAGAAAAAAAATAAAGGAATATATCTACTTTTAACTGTTTTCTTCATATTTGATGTTATATATTAATATTTACAAATATGTATTTTCTTATTTGTTTAATGTCCTTTGATACTTTATAAATATATAAAATAACTTATATTTATACATATACACCTTTATATATGTAAAAATATATAAATATTTATATCAACATATATTTCAATAATATATATATATATATACAGTATATATATATATATTGAAATATATATTGATATAAATATCAAAATATATACATCAAAATCAAAACATATATATATATATCAAAACATATATATAAATATATCAAAACATTGTATATAAATATATACAGTATATCAAAACATATATATATATATTACATTATAACATAACATTATATATATACTGTATATATATATCAAAACATACATAAATATATATATTAAAACATAATTATATATATATCAAAACATAAATATATATATATATATATATATATATATATATATAATAAAACTTTATTATATATTATATTATATAAAATATTATATATATATATATATAAAACATATCAAAACATATATATTTTGATATATATATCAAAACACACACACACACACATATATTATATATATATATATATATATATATATATATATATATATATATATACTCATCAAATTCAAAACACACACATAACACAATACATAACAAAAATAACACAATTAAAAAAACTAAAGTCTCGTTACATGGCCCCATAATGTTTATTTTGATTATTTTACATCATTGTGTTAAACCTTTATTAAAATCATGGGAAAAAAAACACTAACCCAAATTTTGAACCCAATGTTGCTGTGGTTTAATCTAACCATGGTAAACAACGCCAGTGGCGTAGTTCAGAAGACCACAATGATGATGATGATGATGATGAAGTACCTCTGCTAACATGACAACGGTGTAAAACACGAACTGTGACGCTTCTGAAAGGCCGCCGCTACGCTGACATGTAGGTTGTGGTGTGTGTTTGGCTGCAGGAACTGAAACCACACTAGTGTTAGCATGTCAACATCTGAAGCGCCTGTGGAACCGGTTCAACCCGAACATGATCAAAACACGGACGGGAAACAGCAGCGCCTTTAATGATAAAAACCCATCCAGTGTTTTGTTTTAATCTCCACTGTCTCAAATCGAGCCGTTTCACCGCGTGACGTCACACGGTCGCAAGCCCCTCCCACGATTGTTGATTGACAGCAGTGTTTCAACACAGACCCGCCCTGAGCGAGACCGTAGCAGAATGGCGTCTAAGCGATTGTGTTGTTCTGTTCTTGGGTGCAATAACAAACAGAAATCATTCTGATGTTCCTAAATCTGAACCGCTTAAGACGCAGTGGCTGTGTTTTGTTTACAAAAGAAATATTCCCGCGTTCTTCATGTTTGGGCGAATAATTTATCGTAGACTGCTTTATAAACGAGGTTCGGTATAAAGCTGGTTTTGCTAAGAAGCTGCTCCTGAAAAAAATAATCAGTAGCCTACCAACTATTTTGTTCCCTCTGCACCAGAAGAAGGGAGTGTAAAGTTTTATTAACCTTTATATTAATCTTTGTAAATCGCGGGAAAAAAGTTTTTCATGACCATAGTTGTAACGCCAATCTGTCAATGAACTAACGTTAATGTAATGTTATACATCAGTATCTCACTACTCTAGCCAGTACATACAAAGATAGATCAAAGTGACATTATGTTAACCAACCATTCAGAAACGTCCTGTTCGAGCCTTAATTGTCGAACTTCTTCGGGCCGTCGTCTTATTCCGGGTGCGACTCCGGTTCAAACTGATACAGTTGCACAGATGTGTCCGCTGCCATTCTCTCCAAAATATCCCTTAACTGTTACGTACGTTATCAACTATGGTTGTCAAGACAACACTTCACGTGCGCTGTGTCTCTACGCCCGCAAAACAGGGGGGCGGGGCTTATTATTTAAAGGCATATGAACAGAGCTGATTTTCACCAGGTAAAATTAATGTTTTCTTAAAATGCTCATGAGAATTTTTAATAAAAGTACATTGCAAAGTTTTCATTTACACCCTAAACATTCATATTAACTAAAAAATGGCATTATATGACCCCTTTAAAACTGCAGAGAACCAAAGACAGTCGAAATCGCTGGTGTTTCTGACGTCACAAATGACCTTGTAACCAATCAGATCAACAGGTCAACCAGTGGATCTCTGAGTGAGTGAGTGGAGGCGGGGCTCATCTGCATATTTAAAGAACCGCACATACTAAATGAGGCAAAGGTGTCGAGTTACATTCAAGATATTTTAAAACATGAAGAACTTTTTTCTTAAATATGAATTAAATTAAGGGAAAAGGCATATTTTAAAGCATTACTACTTTGATTATTACTGCCAATTAAAAGTATAATTAATTAGTTACAATTTAGTTTAATTAAAGAACAACAACAAGTTAATGACAACAATGTCTTTTTAATGCACACACACAAAAAATGTATAGGTCCAGTGCAAATAGGAAATCCTTGAGACCTGCTTTTTGCTTCAGTTTTATATTCCATCTTGAAGCATCCATGAACCATTTTGATGATGCTGTATTAATAACATCACTATAGACCATTTCACAAGATGTAAACAACACTGGTCCAGAAGCACTTCCTGTTTCAGTTTTTTAACACTACATAAAAGCTGGGATAAAATACAACCAACAGAACATATAAAACTGAATCAAAAAGTTAAACAAACATCTTTAAGATGTTTTCTTTACATGTGAAATAAAGAAAACAGTTATAAACTGAAACAGGAAGTGTTTCTGGGCCAGTGTTGTTTACATCTTGTGAAATGGTCTATAATATCTGTATTCAAAAGGTGATGCTGCAAATCCACAATGTATTCAGTTCCAGAGTTAATGACTGCACGTAAAATTGCATGTATGAAAAAAATGTTTATTTGTCAGCAACAAGTATCACAAATATATGAAAAATATAGCATAAGAAATATATTAATTTAGTCAATAAATAGTCACACATATTAAAACAGCCTGTAAGAGTCGTTCCTGTTAGTAGTGCTTGTGGGAGGACTCTCAGCAGACTGATAACAGTACAGACACATGAGGTATTTCTGTTCACTCGAACCAACCAGACGTCGAGTCCGCGTGCATCCTGGACAGGCTCGAGAGGAACCGAGCCCACACACACACACACACACACACGCGCGTAGACTACATTCATTGTTCAAAAACAGGAAGAAGTACTCGTTACGATTAGCACCTTCAAGTCAGTGACTTCTTCCCATCTCCTCAGAACACACTCGAAATAAACAAGAAGAGTAACGACATCAACGCATCCCTGAGCAAGACATGGGGCTTCCTCCAATGCCGACAGTCCTGATGATTATCATGAAGACACACAAACGATTAAAAGACAGAACACTTGGTTCCAGTCACGTAAAAAAAAAAAAAATGTAAAAAGTTTTGTAAGTCCATTGTATTAAAATACGAATCTTCAACTAGCGCTAGCGTTCCTGAGCCGTAATACTGGAGAGATGGCCTCAGCAGGAGGGCGAGGTCGTGATGGGGCTCTGCAGGAACGAGAGAGGACTGGCCGCCGCGTGCACGGGGAAGTTGAACACGGTGTTGCTCTTGCCGATGACGGGACTCCCCGCGGCCGCGGAGCAGCTGGAAGACGCTAGCACCTGCGACTCGAACTGCAGCAGCTGCCCCATGAAGCTGAAGTTGGGCGAGATGATGCTGCGCCGCTGCTTGACGAACTCGAAGGCCTCCTCCAGCCGCACGCGGTTGGTGCGCATCAGATACGCCAGGCAGATGGTGGCGGAGCGGGAGATGCCCGCCTGGCAGTGCACGAACACGCGCCCGCCTTTATTACGCACCGAATCTGTGGGAAACAAACAACAGTCTCGGTTAAACGCCGTTCAACGATCAGGATACTGTAAAAAAAAAAAACACTACTTTTTTAGGATTTCAAGAACTACAATCAGAGATCGCACTTCAAGCAATTTCAGATAAAAGCGATCCAAAATACAACGCATTTAATCATATCAAATGCAAAGTTTATAATGGCTATTATTGTTCAATAAATAATATTATAATGTGGAAACGGTCTGATGGAGGATTATCAGACAGGCTGCCGTGATTTATTTTGCGTCTAGTCAATAAAATTAAATGCAACATATTTTGTATTTAAATAATTCAAGCACTTTTTTGAGTAGCTCTTCATAAATATGGCTGTTGCAAGAGTTTCCCAGGACTTACGTTTCAAAAAGTCAAATTAAAGTACCCTTAAACACCAATTTCATATATATACTGTCTTTCAATAATTCAAGCACTTTTCCAAGTACTTTTTTATAAATATGCCTGTTTTTTCGTATATATTTTCTCAATAATTCAAGCACTTTAAGTACTTATTCATAAATATGGCAGTTTTTTTTTCCATATGTATTCATGTATATATTGTCTTTCAATAACTCAAGCACTTCTCAAGTACTTATTATAAATATGTATATATTGTCTTTTAATAATTCAAGTACTTATTCATTATTTTCAAGTATTTTCCGGACTTACATTTAAAAAAAGTCAAAAAGTAAACACTAATTTCATATGTATACATGTGTATATACTTTTCCAAGTACTTCTTTAAATATCCCTGTTTTTTCATATGCATGTATAACTATTTTGTCAATAATTTAAGCACTTCAAATACTTATTCATAAATATGTACGTATATATATTGTCTTTTAATAATTCAAGCATTTTTTCATAAATATGGCTGTTTTTTTCATAAGTATATATATTTTTTTTCAATTATTCAAGAACTTTAAGTACTTATTCATAAATATGGCTGTTTTTTTCATATGTATACATGTATATATTGTCTTTCAATAACTAAAGCACCTCTCATGAACTCATTCATAAATATGTATATATTGTCTTTTAATAATTCAAGTACTTATTCATAAATATGGCCGTTTTCAAGTATTTTCCGGACTTACATTTTAAAAAAGTCAAAAAGTAAACACTAATTTCATATGTACACATGTGTACATACTTCTCCAAGTACTTTTTTTTAATACGTCTGTTTTTTCACATGCATGTATAAATATTTTGTCAATAATTCAATCACTTCAAATACTTATTCATAAATATGTATATGAAGAGTTCAGATGCCAAAGCCTCTAAATGCCATTTGAAATTTTCTTCTAAAATGATCATTTTTATCAAGCTTATATATTTAAGTTCAGTAATTTCACTTAAATGACAATGAAGATTACCTATGAATTGCCATTTAAGTGAAATTACTGAACTTAAATATACAAGCTTGATAAAAATGATCATTCTAGACGAAAATTTCAAATGGCACTTAGAGGCTTTTGCATCTGAACTCTTCATATATTGTCTTTTAATAATTCAAGCACTTTTTCATAAATATGCCTGTTTTTCATAAGTATATATTTTTTTCGATAATTCAAGAACTTATTCATAAATATGTCTGTTTTCAAGTGTTTTCCAGCACACTCTAACTCCAGCACTTTGAGCACATGGTACAAACCCTGCTTTATTGATTCCCTAACCACTCATTCAATTGCAAATGAGCCGGACTCATACCGCAGGACTGCTAATGACGGATGCCGTCCCGTTAAGGAAACGGGAGAGCTAAAGCAGGCAGGGGTTCGAGTGAGAGGGGAAACACCCCCCTTAGACAGGCCTGAATACACACAATGGGAGGTTTGGCCCCCCCTGCGAAGCGCACTTATCTGATAGGAGGGCAACAGAGACACTACCTTTTGTTCTGGCTCAACAAAGGATGCAAGGCATTCAGACGGAGCCATTTGCCCCATGAAAGGATCAGGTCACGGCCTGGTGTTATTTGAAAAGGGGGCTCCTCTTTAAACAGGGTGACGTCAGCCTGTCAGGCCCGGGACGTACAGCTGGTCGATTTGGAGGGAAGTTTTGAAAAACTCAATTGGGATGGGGGGTTGGGTCTGCCTGCCTGCCAGAGCTCGTCATACGGGGACATCTGTTCCCCATTTCGTGACGAAAAACGACACTCACCGATAAATTCGATGGCCTCATTGAACCAGGAGCTGATGTTGGCTTTGTGGTTGTCCTCAACAGGGATACTCTTGTACTGATAGTGGTCTTCAAAGTGGTTGGGGCAGTTTGAAGAGACGTTGATGAGGGCCGTGATTCCCAACATGTCCAGCATGTCTTTTCTGGAGGCGTGATAAGCACTGCCTAAATATAGGAATGGCAAAATTTCCACAGGGCCACCCTGAAAACACAAACAGACAAGAAAGTTAGCGGACTGGTTCGATCATGACGGGGCGTATTTATTTACCACACGTGTGCTCAGAGTTCGTCGTGATTACCTGGTCGTACAGAGGGGTCGTGCAGGAGGAATCTGCGGTGTTGGGACAGCAGCTGGAGCTCAGGGGTAAACTCAAGCCTTGGGGGGGGGCTGGCTTCGTACACATTTCAGGAAACTCAGAGGAAAACGTTTCGAATCCACCTATCAATGGTAAAACAGAGCGTGTTTGAGTAAAAGAGGGATTGACAAGTGACAACAGCTGAAGAAAACATTTGGTCGCAACTTTAAATAAATAAACATGAAGACAAGCTCAGCTTGTGTGTTAATTGGTTAACAATCTTAAAAAAATAAAGGCGTGTTTAAATCTGATTCCATTGAGAAACTTTAACATCAATGGAAACTTTTCAGATGCACACTTTAGATTGTTATAAATGTTCTTCCCACTATATAAATAAAGAGAGTTAGTTCTGTCATCATTTAATCACCCTCGTGTTGTTCTAAACCGGTTTGACTTTCTTTCTTCAGCTGAACACAAAGGAATATGGTGACGTTAATCGCGCAGTTGATGGGCCATTGACTTCCATTGTATTTTTTTTTACTACATACAATGGATGTCAATAGTGCCTCAAAACAGACTGGTAACAAACATTCTTCAGAATATCTTTTTCGGTGTTCAGCGGAGTGAGTAACTTAAACGTTTACAGGTTTGGCGGTGAGTAACATTTTTTAGGTGAACTGTCCCTTTAAGAGCTGTATAATGAAAGGTTCTCGTGTGGCACCGGATCACCCCTTGTTTTAAAGAGTTTAGCGTATAACAAAGTAACTTAGTAGGCAAAGAAAGAACAATTTCTCGTACCTTTAAGGAGGAATACACTTGCTCCACATGGATTGCGACAGAGCGCGTTCACAGCGAGCATTAAAGTCCCGTCTTTCTTCACTTCTCCCATCTCCACACTGCGGTCGTCCAGGAACACGACGCTCTGGTATTCCCCGGACAGAAGCCGGCTCCTGGTGTCCTCGTTGGGCACGATGTGCTCGAGCCCCAGCCCCCCTCGGGCTCTCCGGCGCACTATAGTGCTGAAGCGCACGTTACTGGAGCCCGAGATATGAGACGAGCTGAAGGAGAAGAACGAGCGGCAGTCCAGAACCAGACAGTCCGGGTCATCATCGCCCTCCAGCAGGTCCCGAAGCGAGGCCGAGTCGATGGTGGACACTTCCATGATGACCATAGTAGAGAACAACGATAGCTCTGAATACATACAGCGATAAACTTCGCTCCTTTGTTCGAGATTTTGATCCAATATAGTCCGTAAGTTAGTTCTCAACTGGTAGCAAGTCGCAGTTGTTTCTCTTCTGATTTGAAAGAATGAGTGACGGTTATATACTGAGCTCGCTCCCGAGTCGACGGAGACCGCGTGACGTCGACGCTCCGCCCCTCTTGGCTCGCGGCCCGCCGAGTTCGCACGTACGTTAGTGAGCGCGGTTATCTGTGGTTTATCTGATCCTGTCAGAGCCAGTCGACCTCTAATAAACCGAAAAACACTGCTAATCCACTCCAGTTTCCGAGTTTGAGTGTTAGTGATTATGATGATGATTATTCATTGTTTTGTGTTTTTTGGGATGGGATTTTTGATTGTTTCAATAGTTGATCTTCGACCCTATTTATCAGCCAGCTCGATGTTTGTCATTATCAGCATTGGCCAATGTTGCTGTCTTGACAGATTCAGTTCCCTGTCGTGTCAGTTCCACTTTTTAACTATTTGTCAATGATTTTGTTTTAAATCGTGTTCAGCTTTGCCTTTTTCACACTATATCATTTAAATATACTACACATACAGGTCAAAAAAGAAAGGATTTTTCCTTCAAAAACAAAAACAAGATAGGCCTACATTTAATGCTGATTTTTAATATAAGAAAGGATTATGCACACATGTCGAATAGCTATAAGATATGCTGGTATTCACACTAAGCCAATTTTAAAGCTGTTTGAGATCATATTGTGTTTCTCTGGTAATTCTAATCAAACTTATTTTTATCTTGTCGTATTTATATATGCTGGCTAGTAACTAATATGATCATCTCACTATGTATGAAATTACACTGACACTTGTCAAAAAGGAAGAGGTGTTTAGAATTTTTCCATGCTATTATTGTTGTAATTTAAAATATTATCAAAAACTTTCCTCTTGAGTTCAGACGAATAACAAGATAATTAGTGAACCTGTCATTGTACTCATAAAAGTTTATACTTTGTTTTTATTGTACAGGAGTACATAGTGTGCAATGCCGCGAGAGCAAAGGCAAACCATAAAAGTTAATCACTGTATAGAAACTTGAGGTCTGGTAAATTTCCATTGAAAAACAAACCAGGCTCAGGTGTATGGATGTGGCCGTGGTGCGAGAGATCTATATTATTCAGACAATACACATATTTTGACCTAAAAGTCAATGACATATTGAAAACTTGTTTGCCAGCACTTCTATTGTCACAGACTCACAAATAAATGTTTTTTTCTCTGTAATTTGATGTTTTGTATTTCTTGTTTTCCTCACAACAGTGGAATAGAGAGAGAAAATGTTTTATATTTATATATATTATATATTTTTTTATAAGTAGTGCAATGTTTGTTGACTGGAAGCAATTAATTAAGACTTTTTTCCAAATCAAACACTTGTCCTTTATTTGTTTGGTCTTACATTTATTTCTATTACTTCCAGCTGGGAAAAATGTCCCAAGAAGTTTTGTGATCCTTCTAGAAATTTTATTTGATAATATTTTGATGTGACAGGCTCACAAGAAAATGACATATGTGGGTCATGACGTCAGGATTGCATTTCTGAAACTTGAGTCAGGACTCTTGGAGCTTTCCTCTCTAAATCGTTTCTGGGGCTGTCATACAGAAAAAAAGCAGTCAGAAACAGTTTTACTGTTAAAACACAGATGAGTCAGCAGAGAAAAGCAAGCCACAAGAAGAACACAGTGTACTGTGTGAGAATAGCACATAAGGCTGAAAATTATAAAAATACACTCTAAAAAAAATAAATAACCCAAATTTGGATCAAATATTGACAAACCCAGAAATTGGGTTAACATTTTAAATGACATTTTCCATATTTTACCCAAAATTGGGTTAAAACAAACCAGCATTTTTTAGAGTGTACTTTCCAAAAACATCTGAATTTCTATTTACGGTCTGCCCACAAAAAGGCGAAGCCAATAAACAAGAAAGAATGATGCTGAATTACTAAAAAAGTAAACATGACCCACACATCTCAAAAACATGCAACGAATCATATAAAACACACATGTCTGCGAGTAGTCATATATTTGCATGTTCTGTTTGTTATAAAGGGAAGTGAAAGAGTGTGATGAATTAGGCATTTCCTTAGTGTGGCAAATATATACAATCAATGTCATCACATTTACGGACAGAGCTACCCCCGGGCACCATGGGAAAATACTTGCATTATTTTAGTTTGCTTTAACCATAAATCCATCATTTTTGCAGATTCTGTATGCCTGGCAGACATTTTTACAAATGTCTCATTTCTAGAATGTGCCCAGATATGACATAGTGAAACATTACATGATCCAGGCATCTCATCATTCATAACCACTGGGTAAATACTGTATACAGATATACGACCGTGGGAATGTATGTGCACAGGACCCAAAACTAGCTTTCTGCCACAGCTGGTATCCCAATCATTTTTACTGGCCATGAAACTGTGTTTGCAAAAACAGACAGTAAAGACACTAACCTTTACCAGTGAAAATTCACAATCATCTTCCAATTTCAACACCTAAACCTAACTAATATACATGTAAAACATTATTAAAGACAAGAAATAAGTAGACGTATACAGAAGTAAACAAGATAAGAACAAATAATCAAATTACAAGCAAAAGCGCAAATACAATATAACAAAGATACAAATTAAATAGTATTTTTCAGGTATATAACATAAACAAATGTAAAATAACTATATATTATTCACTTTATAAATTAAACCTTCTTATTAAAGCTATTAAAGTTATTTAGTCGAGAGCAGTGAGTGATTGTCTCTGTCGTGTGATTCACATTATAAACACAGACCTCATCAGGAATATTAGGCTACTGTCACTTTAAGAGTGATGTGCGTGAATGTAATATATCCCTTACAAAAATTAACCAGTTACAAAAAATTAACTTGGTCCCTTACAAAAAAATAACCAAAAATAATAATAATTTTTTTGTAGTAACTATGTTTTTTTTTTGTAGTAACCATGGTTTAACTATGTTTTTTTTTGTAGTAAAACCATAGTAACTACAAAATGAACCATGGTTTTACTACAATAACCTTGGTTTAACCATGGCTTTTGTAGTAAAACCATTAATGAACCATGGTTTTTTAAATGAATGGTTCGCACCAAAATACCACAGTTACTACAGTCATAACTACAGTTTTATTATAGTAAAACCATGGTTTAACTATTGTGGTCATAACCGGTAGGATTATAAAAGGCAATGATTTTTCACAACTGTGTGAAACTCAACAGAAGTTGTGACATAAACAATAGATATTCCAGACACACATCAGCGGCTCAAATAGAAGAAATCGCTTATTTCAGAAGCACTGACTAATGTACGGTTATCCCAGCATTACACATATAAAAGGGGAAATATTGGAAATTAATAAGCATGCCAGAATATATCTTGTGTTTTATACCTGAATTTTGAATGCATTTCCTATTGACCAATAACTTTTTGTTTGTCATAGATACGTGTTTTAAAGATATCCCTTACGAAAACTAACCACTTGTTTTGGTAATATAAAACTGTCTTATTTATGAGATTTCCAGAAGGTTTCCTTTAAGAGCACATCAGCGTCAGATTTACGGTTGTGTTGTTGTTGTTGTAGAAACAGTTTTGACTGTTGGACCACATAAGCGGAAGTTAAAGCTGTCTCCATGGGCAACGCGTTAAGTTTGCGCACCACAACTTATTCCTAAACCGGAAACAGAATCACGCCGCTCGCTCCCTGTCGACCAATAGGATTGTGCAAAGCGTCCTAAGCGGATGTCACATCCGGTTTGAACAGCCGGCAGGATTGAAGGAAGAGTCTGGAGTTAGCCACTTTACTACTTGTGTCGTTTATTTTTAAACTTTTTAAAGGTGTATAATACAGAATTATAACACAACACACTAGATTTTATTCGCGCAGTCACAATGACTTTCGATGTGCGGAGGTGAGTAGAGGTTTGAAGCGACTCGTCTTTTCCTCTAATGCATGAATCAAACACGTCCACACTAGACACAACACAACGGCGGTGTTTCAAACCCTAGCGAGCTGCCTACTTAGACAGTGTGTGTTTAAACCGAGCGAGGCTGTAATGTAGTGGAATGATAGGCAGCACACTAGTTGTTTAAAACACAGCCAGAAGGTCCATGTGAAAACACTTTCTTATTTCTGTATACATGTTCTTCATTCTGCTCTTGATGACCAACTTATCTCTGAAAAACTGTCCTCTGTACTGTTACTGTACTCTCCAAAACACATCAAAGTTCGTGTCATTTTTCCATTAGACATCACATTTATAAACCGTTAATGGTACTTGTTTGAACAGTTGCGTTGTTGTTCAGTAATTCCTGTTCATACTGACTCTGTGTCATTATGCAAATATAAAACAGGACTAACAACATCTGAAAATGACATTCATTCATCAGTCTGCTAAATTATTCGATTATTAAATTCTGCTGTTATACCACCATTCCAACGAATTTTTCTTCTTTGGCTAATCAAGTCTGCATTTATTTGATCAAAAAATACAGGAAAAACAGTGAAATATTATTCTAATGTAAATCAGCTGTTTTCTATGTGAATATACAGTGAAGTGTAATTTATTCCTGTGATCAAAGCATCATTACTCCAGTCTTCGGTGTCACACGATCCTTCAGAAATCACTGTAATATGAGGATCTGATGAATAACAAACATTTATGAATGATAATTATTTTTATTAGTGTTGAAAACCGTTTTTTCAGGATTCTTTAAATAATAGAAAGTTCAATTTTAGGGCTGTCAAGCGATTAATCGCATCCAAAATAAAAGTTTGTGTTTACATAATACTGTGTATAATTATTTTGTGTATAGATAAATACATACACACACACACACACATGCATGTATAGTTAGGAAAAAAATATTTATATATAAAATATTTATATTTATATATAATATAAAGTATATATAAATCTATATACAGTATATTATTCATAAAATATGTCTTAAATATCTACAAGCATGTGTGTGTATTTATATATATATATATATAATTATACACAGTGCTCCCACATATATTATGTAAACACAATCTTTTATTTTGGATGCGATTAATCATTTGACAGCCTTATTCAATTTCATTTATTTGACATTGAATCTTTTTTTTAAGTATAAATGTCTTTTCTGTAACTTTGGACTAATTTAATGCATCCTTGATGACTTTTATTTCTTTCCCTCCAAAAATAATTTTCACTGACCCCAAACTTGTTAACGGTAGAGTATAATGTTATAAAAGCTTTCTATTTCAGATAAGTGCTGTTCTTTAAACTTTCTATTCGTCAAAGAATCCTGGGAAAAACTTTATAGCTTTATAAACTTTAGATAAACTTTAGAGTGATTTCTGAAGGATCATGTGACACCGAAGACTGGAGCAATGATGCTTTGATCACAGGAATAAATTACACTTTACTGTATATTCACATAGAAAACACATGATTTACATTGGAATAATATTACTGATTTTTTGTATATTAATCAAATAAATGCAATGCAACCTTGGGGAACACACACCAAATATATATTTACAAAATGTACAAACAAATTTTAGATGTGATTAATTGCGTTCAAGTATCTGAAATTCTTCTTTTTTAAATTTTTTTTTTAGTTAAATCTGTTTTATTCTCCATCTCGTTCAGCACAGTCTCTGTCAGGAGCTGTAATGTAATCCGAATGCTTTTCATTTTGCATTTTGAGCGTGTTTAATGTGTGTAATGTATTATTTATATGTTAGTAAATATAAAATAGTCGATCACCCTAATGACCTAGATTGTCTTGAGACTGTCAGGATTAATGGATTGTTTTTCATGTATCTGGACTTTAATGCGAGTAAAGTTTCAACATGTTTTATTGAACAACATAGCGTTGTGTATCTGAACATCCAGCGTTGCTGTCTTTGGGTATGAAAACAAACACACAGATCATGTGCAGATGTAGGACTAAATATTGCATCATAATACTTAAATATGGGTTGCTAAGGCGACGACACAACCTTGTTTACAATCCTGCGTGCCTTTTTAGCTCATCCGCGGCCCAGCGAAAGTGACGTGCTGATAAACCCGTCAGCACACACAGCTTCCTCTTAGAAACACGTTCGCCATAAACATCCTGCGGTGTCACACACAATCCCACAGCTCCTTCCTGTCAGCTGACCTCACAACACGACAACTGTCCAAGCCGACCCATGAAACCTGTAATAGGCCTAATAAATAGGCGATTGATGAATCGCAAAAGTGCAATAATTCTGTCTAAATATTAGGGGTGTACCGACACACTCATATCACGATTCTGAACTCATGATACCATATTATCGTTATAATCCAAGATATATGATAAAAGATTAACAAACAATTAGCTTGATTAAAAGTAGTTAAATAGCAGTTTAATGTAATACTGGGCTGGCACTAAAAGTATTTTTTCTCACACACTAATCTTTATTTTGGGTGAACTATATACAGATTGTCACATATTGTTGCGTTTTTGTATTGCGATATATCGAGACACGCCTATTAAACATGCGATGTTCATCCTCCTGGGATGCTTTCATAAACGCATGGATCATGCTGCACTCGTCTTCCAGCTCTTCCACTCTTCACTTTGTAGTAATAATAATGTTCTGGCACATATTTTGGTAGTATGATAACATGCGGACAGACTTGTTTCTGGCGTGTTGCAGCTGTGTGTGTGTGTGTTGATGTTGTAACTCGGGAAATAATAAATATCTGAGTCTGACGGATATATCCTGGGGGAACGTGTAAATGTTACTCCTGTTGTGCAACACGCTTCTGAACAGTGAGGGAATCCAAGACGGCAAACTCGTTTTACTCGCAAAGTGAAGAGATTGTATATATGAAGAGTTCAGATGCAAAAGCCTCTAAATGCCATTTGACATTTTCTTCTAGAATGATGATTTTTATCAAACTTGTATATTTAAGTTCAGTGATTTCACTTAAATGGCAATGATAATTACCTATTAATTGTTATTTAAGTGAAATTACTGAACTTAAATATACAAGTTTGATAAAAATCATCATTAAAGAAGAAAATTTCAAATGGCATTTAGAGGCTTTTGCATCTGAACTCTTCATGTATAGTTTTGAAGAAGTTTCCATACTATCAATTTATTTGAACATAGCCTTCATAATCAATCATTTTTATTACCTGTCACAAAATATAGGGTGAATACTGGTTAAGTGGGACACTTTCTGATAATTTATATTCTGCATACTTTTTTATTATATTCTAAATAGCTTAAGAGCTCTACTATACTATACACAATAGAAAAGAAAGAAACATTAAACACAGGATGGATGACTCTTCCTTAAACACACAATGACCCCAAACCACATTTTTCAAGGCTCTACTTTCAAAACACATTCAATTGTTATTTAAGTGTAGGCCTTATAAATGAAATACACAATAACAATATAAACAACATTATAAACAACAATAATATAAACATAACTTTTTTTTAAGAAGGGGCCTGCCCACAACATTTTATATTGGGTTTAATTTATTTAATTTAATTTATATTTTTAATTTTAAAAACCAGTCCAGATTTTCATGTTTCTGTGCGCTTCCTTCAGGGTCCAGTGGCCTTTCGGTGGTCAGACTTGGCTATACACCCCAATGTGTGTTTGAGCCATGGGATTTACTGGGTACATCCCAGTCCCCCTGAAGCCAGCTTGCCTCCATTAGCATCGCAAGCAAGCTCAGTATAAGTAGTTTAAGTCAGTCTTTGTTGAACTAAATTTATGAGGCACATACTGTATAAAAAGGGAACTCAATACCTCCATTAGAATGACTTGAATGGCTGTCCCAGTTTGCCAGTAATACCCTGTCCCAGTTTAACAATATGCTATTAGCAAACTGGGACAGTGTTAAAATCGTATAAAAAATCCAAGAAGATTAATATGAATGTGATTTTTATATCCTATTATAAAATAAAATATATAACAATTACAAATGATTCATGAGTTTTTTTCATTTTTATAACCTTAACATTATTTACTTCAGAATGCAATGTCATTTTACTTACCATCATGGTTCACTGCAAGGTTGTTAAATATATCACTGGAAGTGATGTCATAGCCACATAATCTTTTTTTTTATAGTTTGCTAATGATGAGCTCAGTGTCCCACTTTACCAGTATTCACCCTATGTTAGTGTGATAAATGGGTGGAACCAGTTTGGTGTGGTTAGTGTATGACATTAAAAATAAAAAATAAAGGCATTAAAAAGCATTCGATTAAATTTGAAGATACCTGCAGAAACCCTATTAACATAACAAAATCATGGGCACGGATGTTTGTAGGTTTATGTATATCTCAGTCGCCGCGGCCATTATTGTTAATGGAAGGAGACGTAGACGTGTATCCAAGCATTAATAACGGCAAGAAAAGCCTCTTATACTGAGAGCGGCTCATATGAGGAGTTTCTGGGTGTTTCTCCCTCATTTCTGCTTCAAGTCTTCTTTAAAGAATGATCATGTGACTCTTCAGACGCCAGAGCTGTGTCCGAAACGCTCCCTGACCACAAAATGGTGTCGGCCATTTTGTAGTGGTGTCCGAATTCTGAGTGAACGACATCATCATTCCCTACATTCGTTCACCACTTTTACACACAATTAGTGCTGCGCGGTTTGACCAAAAATTGATATCACGTTTTTTTTGTTTTTTTTTTTAAAATTAAGCCAGTTTTCCGATTTATGACGTTTTTTTTATGCATAATCAGGTGTTCAAAGCATTTCTACTGGTTGAGAGAGGAATTACTGCAATATATTCACTAGGATGGTCTATTTTACTGTCATTGGTGAATATTGTAGAATAGAATAGAGCCTAGTATAACCTAAAATAGTTATTTCTTAACTTTCTAATAACATTCTTATAACCAGGAAATGACGTTAAAAAA